ACCTCCTCCAATAACAGCCAACTCTGAATGCCTACCCTCCTTGAACACCAACAACAGTTATCATAGATGATCACACCCATTTCTCTCAATGGAGTAACCTTTCTGCAACCTATCAACTCCATCATAGATTTTGGTAATTCTTCCTCAACCTCATTGTCACATTCAGGCAATCAATAGCTATGGCTCATCTCTAAATTTATATGAACTTTTCTGGTTACCACATCCAGATTCATGGTTTTATTTATTTATTTTTTAAGACTGATGTTTTATTATTTGAAAGGCAGTTACAGAGAAAGAGGAAGAGAGGGAGGGAGGGAGAGAGCAAGCGAGTGAGCGAGCTTACTTCCATTGGTTCACTCTTCAAACAAACCCAACAGTTGGGGGTGTGCCAGGCTGAAGCCACGAGCCTGGAACTCCATCCAGGTCTCCCATGTGGGTGGCAGGGTTGGTCCAAGCCCTTGGGCCACCTTCTGCTGCTTTCCCAGGCACATTAGCAGGAAGCTGGATCGGAAATGGAGCAGTTGGGACTGGAACTGTTGCTCACATGAGATGCCAATATCACAGGTGGCAGCCCAAGCCTCTGCACCACAATGATTGTCCCTAGCTTCCTGACTTTAAATGTACGTATTGACACTGTCAAGTGGTTGTCTCTCACACCACCACTTTTCTACTCAACAGCCTCATGCCCGACAGCCCCAATTATAATCTAAATCTTATAGGCATCAGAATGTGTTCTAAACTGAGCTTCTGAATATCCTGTCACACATCTTCTTGATCTCCATAGTTAACTACATTCCTCTTACTAATTTATAGTAACCTAACAGTAAATCTTTCAGCTCAATCTCTTAAAATATTCAGAATATAAGCACTTCTCATTGGCTTCTTGGTACGTGCCATAAACTGGATAGCTTGTAATAACAGAAATTTATTTCCTACAGCTCTAGAGACTGGAAATCTGAGACCAAGGGGACAGTAGACTGGTGTAGGGGCCAGATGGCCATCAGTGGTGCAGTGGGTGAGGGATCTCTCTATGGCAATAATTCACTGCCCCCCCACCCCCATTAAAACCACTGTTTTTCTCGATTGAATTATGAAGCTCCTTGCTGGTATCTCTGCTCCTATATGTGACTTTCTACATTTCTGCAGTCTATTTTTCACAAAAGTCAGATAGATCATCAATACATGGTCCAAACCCTTTAATGACTTCTTATTTTACCTTATAAAAAGGCAATGTGATTATAAACAGTATATTTGACTAGCCCCCTCTCTTTGCTCTAATTACCCTGGCCTTCTCAGTAAACCTAAAAAAAATTTCAAACCTACTCTCACTTAGCCCTCCGGTGCTTTTCTCCCCAAATATATTCATGACATAATTCCTCCTCACTTCCTTTAGGTCTTAACTCAAAAGTAGGCTTCTTGCTAAGACTATTTCCTACTTCAGTCTCAACCTTATACATGTCTACATTATATTTGTTTTATTCTTTCTCCATAGAATCTTAAAACTTATATTTTGTATTTTAATACTTTGCCAGCCTTTTTAAAAAATTAAATATCCAATCCATCTGGAATTTACTTAAAATCATTTAATTAGAAATTAAATCCCACCTTCCCATGAAAAATATATTTTTAGCATATAAATTCCTACTAAAATTTAGGATGAGTGTAGAAATTGTTTGTGTACAATTTCAACCATGTACCACATGTTTATATCAGTTTTAATCACTGACTCTTATATCATAATATATCATCTTGTAGAATCTAGTACTTTTTCATTAACTCTTTTCTTCAGTGTTCTCACAGGCAAACTGTATTTTAAATTTAGAACCAAGTTAATTTCAAAAAAGAAAAAAAAAACAAAACCTAAAATGTACCCACTTTGGTATTTTCACTGCAATCATGTTCAATTCATACATTAATTAGAGGGAAATTGAAATTTTCATGTTTATAGTCTTTCAACCTAATTATATGCATGTGTTTCCATTTGCTTAAATTTTATTTCTTCAGCAATATTTTAGATGTCATTTTTTTGGATTTCCAGTCCAGCTAGGTTTATTCCTAGGTTTATTTGTTTGAAAACTTTATTCTATTTTTGCTACAATAATTAATTGGCCTGTGTAGGCTTCTGGTGTCTTCTAGAGCTTGTTCAGATCATATAATTTATTTCCTAGAAAACAATTTTTCATCTAAGTTCCCTAAATTACTTATAAAAGACTTGAACAAAGTAGTTTCTTGCTATTTTTTGTTTTATGCACCTACAGTTATTTCCTCCATTTCATTTCTTTTTTAAGCAGTTGTAATGTCTCCTACTTTTATTAGTTTAATAATTTGCCTTTTTTGTTTGTTTTAAAAAGCTCATGGATTAATAGCCTATTTTCATAATGCTTTCTTATTTTTCCATTTATCTTACGAAACTCCTTTGACTTTAATTGGGATTATTTTTTTCTTTAACTTCTTGGATGGGTACTTAACTTATTTTCATACTGTTCTTCATCAGTAACTATTTAAAACTAGGAATTTTATTCTTAGCATTTTTAGTTAAGTCCCATTGGTTCTTATACATCTAAAAGCTGTATCACAGTGCTTGATTTCCATTTTGTTCCTAGAACTGCCAAAATAGCTTTCAAATTATCATGTGGCAGGATTTTACTGTTTTCTAAGTTTGTTACAAATGTCAGATCTTATTGCACTGTGATCAGAGAATGCTTTCCCTACTTTTTGTCTATAACTTGAGGTTTGGTATATGATCTAGATTTAGTTTAAAAGGAGGTACATTTTTATTAATGTCTGTGTATGCGTTCTAGCTTGTAAATTTTGTTATTTAGGACTTAAATAGTTTTATTTATTTTGGGTCAGTAAACCTGTCATATCAAGATGTGTTCTGATTTAAAGTCTTATACAATTAATGCATTTATTTTGTCTTACAGCTAACACAAGAATTTTTTTAATGCATAAAGATATTTATAAGTACTATAACTTTACCACAGACTGAACTTTGATTATTAAGTGTTGTATGTGTGTTTGTATGTTTGAAACAGGAGGGAAGGAGAAAAACTGATTTAAAGCCTTCTCGCCTGAATTAAATCTTATTTTCAGGTTCCACAATTTCAAATTTTAAGAATTCTTATATACATCACAGACTTGTGCTTTACATGTGACCTGTGAAAATATTTCCCCTTTGATAGGAAGCTTAGTTTATTTACATTTAACAATCACATATGTTTTCTTGTATATCTCTCATTTTGTAATATATACTGGTTCAACTACATTTTTAGTAAGGAGAATCTTTGAACATATGATTGCTTTCTTTTGTTTTCTGTGTTTTTCTCAGAATGGGAACTGTAGTATTTTGTTCTATTGACACATACTTACTTAGTGAGATACTACAGAAAGAAAGAAAGGATTAAACGTCCCTACTGAGTCTTGTCTCCAAGCAAGGGACAACATTATTTTTGCTCTCACACTCCTCTCTTCCAACCCCACCCATTATATTGTCTTAGAACGTGCACAATGGTATGCTGTGATGGATGGTATTTATTAGTGTATTTTAGCAAACCAAAATTAATGTCTGAAGCGAAAGATTAATAAAAACATCTTCTAGAGAAAAAAAACAAACTGAAAAACAAAATTATTTTTCCCAAAATGATTATGACATTTTCTTTTCTTTGAAAGGTAATAGTGGCATTTTATAGAGATCAATATACAAGCAAAAGTTTGAAGTCTTTAAGTTTGAAACGGAAGTAGAAAATACATCTGATTTTTCAGCTCTAGTTCTGAAACTAGATTTACATTTACAAGGCAGCCAATGGGATCATAATAAATCATGAATGCTACCACTGTGATGCTTTATCATAAAACAATAAAACTATGACATAAAGAAACTGTTCCATACTACTAATGACTAATCTGAAGCAAGAATTCAGTCTAGAGAAAAATCTTATCATGAATATTTAAAATTGTGCCCACAGAATCACATTAACAAGACAAATTTAACAATCAGAAACATATCTCAAATTCTTTTAAGAACAAGTGATCAAAAACACTTAAGAAAAACATATGAAAAAATGTGACACTCTCCCTTCAAACCACTGTACTAAGTTAAAGAGTTCCATAATTTACAAATGCAAAGGACTTAGAATAGTCAACTTAACTTTAATAAGAATAACAAATAATGAAGGACATATATTTCCTGATGTCAAGGTTTGTTATAAAACTATGGTGATCAAAACAGTATGGTACTGACCTTAAAGCAGACATACAGAGTCATGGTGCCACATAACAATGTTTCAGGCAATAATAAGCCACACATACAATGATGGTCCCTTAAGATAGCTATCACCTAGTAACATCAGAGCTTTCTGAGTTTGTGTAAGTACAGTCTGTGATGTTCAAATAAAGAAGAAATTGCTGGAGCTTGCACTATGGTGTAGTGGGTAAAGCCACCACTTGCAAATACCAGCATTCCATCTTGGTTCCAGTTTGAATCCTGGATGCTCCATTTCTGATCCAGCTTCCTGCTAACATGCATGAGAAAGCAGTGGCAGAAGGCACAAGTGCTTGGGCCACTGCGCCTATGTAGGAGGGTGGGTGGAAGCTCCTGGTTCCTGACTTTGGATCAGCCCAGCTCCAGCCCTTGTAGCCATTTAAGGAGTGAATCAGCAGATGGAAGATTCTCATTCTGCCTTTCAACTAAATAAATATATCTTAAAAACAAACAAACAAACAAACAAACAAAAAAAACAAAACAAAAACCACACACAATGAAATTTCCTGTCAACAGATCATTCAATACAATGAGGGCATAGAGTTAGGAAGTGGACTCACTTCATTTTAAACAAAGATGCAAATAGGAAAAGGTTATCTTCCAAAAGATTGATGCTTGGAACAAGTAGATTCTCATATGGGAAAGAAAAAATTGAACTTCAGCCTTTATTTTCCTCACACTCTAAATAAAAATTAACTTGAAATGGCTTATAAATCTATACGTAAAATACACAACTATTGCCTAGGTCTATGCCAACAGGGCTTTTCCCACAGACGCTCGTCATTGGAAACACCTCATAGAATATTTCTGTGGTTTTGCTTTCCTCACAGGACTTTGTTTTAGGTCTGTGTGAAGGAATTATAAGATAATTAAAAATATATACATACAACTATTACAATCATGAGAGAAAGCACTGCAGAAAAATCCTGACAACTTTGTGGACGGCAAACATTCTACAAGACAGGAAATTTTAAAAAACTGATAAACAGAAACTTATCCAAACTAAATACCTGTTTTCTCTGAAAGACACCATTAAGAAAATTTACAAAAGGCTAGAAGAAAATATTAGCAATACATATATCTGAAAAAAATCTGTATCTAAAACATACAAAGAATTCTCATGATTAAATAACAGTAAGAGCTGATTTAATAACTGGCAAAAATAGACACTTTACAAAATGTACACAAATGGCAAGTAAATATATTAAAGGGACAAGGGAAAAACAGAAAAATGATAAGGAAATATCAGTAACATATCTACTATAGTATACACTTTCTGATATTAAAAGGATGACAGTGGCAAGAATTATTGAGGATTTGAGGCAACCTAATTTTCTTACACGGCTGATGGGGACGCTAAAAGGCAACCACTTTGGAAAACATTTGGGCAGCTTCTTAATATGTTAAATACACCCTAATCATAAAACTCATCACTTCCAATTCCAGGTATTTATATACAAGAAATAAATATAAACACAAATATCCAAAATGACTCGCATGTGAACATTCCTAAGTTTATATAAAAGTCAAAGAGTGTAAACAATTCGAATGTCCATCAACATGTGAGCAGATAAATGAATTGCAGAATATTCAAACGATGGACTAAGTACATAAATATACTAGTTTTGCATTCTACAACAATGAACTCAAAGCTGAGTTAAATAAACTACACATAAAATAGTATTTACTGTATGGTTCCAATTATAGAAATTTCAAAATGGCTAACCTATTCTGTAGTGACAGAAAGAAGATAACTAGTTGCCTGGTATAGGTATTTGGAGAGGGGATGTGGAATTACTGCTTAGTGGCAGGAAATAAAATTTTTAGAAATATTCTTTGATTATAGTTTATACAATTATTAAAATTCAAATTTTGTACTTTTTTAAAAGATATGTTTATTTGAAAGGCAAGGTTATAGAGAGGCAGAAGCTATTTCACTCCCCAGTTGGCCACAATGGCCAGAGGTGGGCTGATCTGAAGCCAAGAGCCAGGAGCCTCCTCCACATCTCCCATGTGGGTGAAGGGGCCCAAGGAGTTGGGCCATCTTCTATTACTTTCCTAGGCCAGATAGAGAGCTAGATCAGAAGTAGAGCAGCCAGGACTTGAACCGGTACCCATATGGGACGCCCGCACTGCAGGAGGCAACCTTACTTGGCTATACCATTGCATTGGCCCCCAAATTTTGTACTTTATAATACGTAACTGTTTGTCAATAAAATGATATTAAGTGATTTATAAAACTATTCAACTTGTGATTCTGTATTTCTGAAATATCATAATATAACCACAAGTAAATCTCTTGGGCACAAATCAAAGCAGTTTTATAAGTTTAGATGCTATCAACACCACCTACTAACACGGGAGAAAAGAAGGGAAGAGGAGTAAAGAGAATGTGAACTCAACAAAAACCACTGGGGGACAGAAAAGTGGCTGTTTCAGCTGTTTTAGCAGGATACAGCTAAACTGTCTAGCCAGAGAACACTTATATTTCAGGGCATTTTTCAGCTCTTCTGATAAGTAATGTCTAAAGGACCCAAACAGGCAGCTTTCTGCAGGTGAAACCAGAATTTGTTATCATGTAAGTAAAATCTATAGCTGTCAATAAGCCAAGGATAAAGCGGCTACTAAATGAGAGGCCAAGTGATAGGCTAGCGCTTGTAAGCAAGGAATGCTGAAGCACATAAAATAGTTACAAGTAGATCAGAAAACCTGACAGGAGACACTTTCTGTCAAAAACACGATGGAATAATCAAGAACGTAGTAGAACTTCTTTAGAGCCTACAAAAATCTAAGAGTCAGCAAACTTTGTCTGCAACAGGGCCAGAGAAACTTTGCACTTCTCTTCTCCAACTACCAAACTCTGCTGCCAAAATGCAAAAGCAGCCACAGAAATTAGCACAATTGTGTTCCAATAAAACTTTATTTCAATACAGTGAAATCTGACTTTTATATAATTTTCATTAAATATGGCATATATTATTATAGCTATATGTTACTATTTTTCAAACAACTGAAAATGTAAAAACTACTAGCTTATGAGCCATTCAAAAATAAATGATGGGCCACAGTTATTGTTTCCTGTAGTGGACAAAAGTCACTACTTTTCTCACCTAAAATGTTACTTTTCTGTAAGTAAAACCACTACAAAAATCACAGTTCCCAACAATTTAAAAATAATTATCAAAAATACGAGTATTTTTCATATTCATTTATACAACTGGGGAAATTTTTAAACTTACTTCTAAGGGCTAACCACATTACAACAGCATTTTCTTTTTCTTGAAGATTTATTTATTTATTTAAAGGCAGCATGACAGAGAGATGAAGAGACATCTTCCATCAGTTAGTTCACTCCCCAGATGGCTTTGACAGTTGGTCTGGGCCAGCCTGAAGCCAGGAACTCCATCCTGGACTCCAACATGGGAGTCAGGGACCCAAATACCTGGGCAACCTTCCACTGCCTTCTTAGGCACAATTAGCAGGAAACAGGATTACAAGTGGAGCAGCCAGAACTTAAACCAGTCCATATGGGATGCCAACATTGCAAGCAGTAGCTTAACTCAGTGCACCATGTCAGCCCCAAAACAGCACTTTCTAGACACATCTGAAGACACAATAAATGCTCAAAAACATTATTAAGTCAATTTTGGAAACAAATTTTAACCCGAGTGTAATTTGTCAAATATAAAATATATTCTTTATTAGCCTTGTATGAATATACGACGAGCACAGTGATATGCCATCAGTGAACACAGCTTTGCCATTCGTAGTTCCTATGTGCTTTATTACAACCCAATGATCACAGGATCTCTTAAGATATACCATACTGATCTCATATACCATACTGATCTCATATTAAATGGATAACATACTGCTTCACTTAGAGTTCCTATTTATGATTTTATCATTTCTTCCCTTCAATCAAGGTAGTAGCTATCACTTCTTGGCTGCTGTCATTCAGTCTCTCCATTACAACCTCTTTCCCCTTTAGAAATTAAAGAGATACAAACCAGAAACTAAGATTACAGAAGTTGTATATAAAATAAATCAAGAGGTCTAAAGTAATAACGCTAGAAACTAACCCAAGAACTTTAGTGATTAATTTAGTGCCATGTGTTTGATAATACAGCTATTCTAATTTTTCATACTATGTTTCAGTCAATTGGGACTGTCAGAGGTTAAATTCTGTACAAGTGTCAGCATATATGATATATTAGATAAAGAAATTCATTCAGATAAAGGAGAAAAAGCTGAAATCGTACATGTGGACAACTGTTCTTAAGAGTAATATCTTACTTAAGAAGTCTTAAACATCTCAAAATGCCTGATGAAGGCAATATCAGTATATGCAACTTACTTAACCTAGGGCGAATTATGGAGAACTGAAGCTCTGTTTATCAAAGATTTATACTACAAAACACTCATCGCAAGATTAAGTTTTACAAATACTGACATCACAGTCATTTCTGAGCAGTAGCTGTGAAAGATCAAAATATGTCACCCTGAAATATGCTACTCGGTCCTAAGGCTTATTTTGAGCTGAAGGCAACTGAGAAACAGCAAATACAAAAGGAGATATCAGCCCTCCCCATCTGTCTTGAAAGCAGAATGCAAATGCCTCTTGTAAAGATGTCTTCCCTCCCCACCACTTCCTGTTCCAGGAAGGTGGCAACAACTTTATCACTGGAGATGGCACCAAGAAAGAATCCACACAAGCAAGCACTATGAAGGAGAGGACGAGCAATCTTCGGGGTTATTTTCTTCTTTTGAGACACCCCTTAGGGGCATGTACAACTTTCAACATCAAATAAATTTGAATGACTTTCTCATATTTTCTTTAAGTTTACTTCACAGGTACAGTCACTAAACCTAATTGGTACAAGGCAGTCCTATTAAATTCATACCAGTGATAGAATGGGCAGACACTTTATTTTATTCTAATTAAGTCTATATGATGAAATTTCAAAAATTTCATGGAACTTACTTTGGTGCAAAAGGTTTTGAAATCTATCTACAGATTTTTCATAATACCTGTTTTCGACACACATTTTGAAGACCGCTCATAAGAATACAGAAGTTAAACTTAAGAACATTTTTCAAATTTTGTAAGGTCCAAAACTTCCACCTCAATCCCCAGAATGTGTGTCCTATTTACTGGCAGCCCAGTGGCTTTTTTCTGTGTCAAGCAAAGGTGATTTTCCAATGGAGGAAAGGTGTTTCCTTTTAAGAACCCAGCTTTGCAAGTCAGTATCAGGATTTCATACATTAAAGAGCACAAGCTCAAATTTTTGCTATCAAATTCCTTTACTAAAAGTGACTAAAATAGAACATTTTTTGAAAGAAACTATGATATCTTATTTGTTCTGGTCTCTAAATTATGGTGATTACCTATCAATGTTAAGAAGCAAGGGAAATACATTACACACGTGATTGACCCTTCTGACTGAGATAACTGGTTTACTAGATGGTTTCCCAACTCAGCTCCACCCAAGTGTCCCAAGAGCAGAAGGAAGAACTAAGGTGGTACATGAAATCTTTTTACAGCACACTAAAACAACTTAAGACAAGGTATCAGTTTAGAAAACTCCATATAATTAATGGTTCTTAACCCTGTTTGATTCATAAAGTATGAAAAATAAATATGACACTATAAGGGAATATATATGTCATACCAAACCCAAAAGAACATACACAAACCCAAACATTATCCAAACCCAAAAGAACATACATAAACAAAAAGTAGGCCCTAATAACAACCAGGGGTGTGGGGTGATAACGATGTATCAAAGCAGGTTCGCCAATTTTAACAAATCTACCACACCAGTGTACGATGCTTTTAATAGGGGAGGCTATGCGTGTGTGGTGATTGAG